ATGTGATAATGGCTTAAAATGGGAAAACGGAACATTATCGCATCTCACGAGACCAAACCAGATCTATTGAATAACGAAGTGTGGCCCGAAAGTTTAGTAAAACAAAAGAACCGAATGCCATCAGAGAAGAATAAACACGAAAAAAAGAAACAACGTTTGTGGAAGAAAGCAAAAAATAATCGATTTTAATCTGAAAGTTACATCTGTAGCCTAATAAACAGTTCGTCTCTGTCAGCGAGAGTACGGACTGGATGTGGAACAGATGAATGTTATAAATGTGAATTATTTCAGAAAGGAGTCGAAAACTGGCCGTGTTTGAAGGCGGAGAGAGAACGGCAACTAAGTCGGACCAGCGAAGCAAAACAATCATCAGAATCAATATGGAGGTCTCAAAGCTTGGTAACAAGAGATACTATAGGGATCAGTGGAACGCGGTTGACTAAGTGAATAAGTCTGCGTCCTGTTCGTGGTATCATCTGTCAGAAAGTTGGTTCAGTAAACGTTGAAGAAATGGACCAGCCTAGTAGTCCAGGATCGCCTGAATCTGACGCTACGGTTCCTCCGTGTTATGATGCTGTGCATCTTGAACAAGAAGTGAGCGATGTGGTAATGCTCTCATGAGATTTTCCACCACTAGATAACCTCATGTGACTACTTTCAATCGTCTTAATTGCACGGGATTTTTCACGACTCAGATGCGCAACCGGGTAAATGAATTTTTCACATTTCACTCTATTCTCACGACCTATCGTTAATTCCAGTTACCATGATGATGGTAGGCGGATGGGCCACGATTTTATTCGGTTCACAATTTCACATTTCTTTAATCTGTTGCGTCGTGAATTGTAAATTTTTTTCGTGTGGATTACGTATCTTTTATACTGCTTAAATTCAACTTCACGATTTTTTTTTAGCTCTGTGGCGGTCATTCAATTCGTGTTCCCCAAATCCAAACACATCCTTCTGGGCATCGTCACCATCATCAAAACAGTAACATCAGGTCATAAACACACCGCTCACTGTGCGTGTATTTCCGACACGCCGTCTGTCCCTGTGATGTCAACTCCGCAGCATATAGGTCATATGGTTAGAGAACGAAGGAACCCGGACTGAGCCTGGAGTATCGTGTAGAGAATTTATCTTGCAGTCTTTTATCTGAACCTCTCTTCTCTATGGAACAGTTTCCCACATAACATACAATGCGCATCCTCTGGTTTCGTCGTGCGGTTGTGGGACGGAGGGGGAGGGGTTGGGTGAAGTAGAGGACCGGGGATTGGTTACACCATCACAATCACGATCACCTGCGACCAACATCCGGTGTTGCCTTGTTTCTACCCGCCCATCCCCGTCAGACAAACAGTGTCTGCTTCTGAAGTGAATGTGCGTATGTGTGTGTCTTCCCGCACCCCTCCCCTACCCCCGTAACAGGTCAATACATGAAAACAAACAACATGATATAACGATATCATAAGCCCCCGGAATCATTAGGCTTGGCTGGTTCGTTCAGTCAAAGGCAGAACGAGGACAGTCAGCGAGAGAGAGAGAGAGACATTGGGGTCAAGTAAACACCAGCTGTCGGATGTGTTATGTCGTGGGATTGGTTGTGCAGTCGGCCCGAAGTCATGCAACAACAATTTGAGTAATCTTTATGCAGATCAAGTTCGGTTACAACCAGGAGAATTTCTTTCGCAGCGTACATGTAATGTCATTAGAAATTTGCAAAGTCCTTAAGAAATGAGCTCTGGATATCATAAAGTGGGTTTTCACTCACAATTCCTCAATTGAAGATCGCTAAAATCACTGGGAAGTTGTTTTCTTCTAGTTTGTCCTATTCAGCATGGTGTATCAGTTTTATATTGCTAAACAGACTCCGACCAGGTTCGCCGTTGACAGTCAGAATTACGACTTGAGCTAGAAATTCAAAGTTACTCAAACACAGTCTCATTAGGGCTAGCCAAATTGTTTGCGTATAGAGTCGCCACCACGTTAGATAGCCACTTAATTTTTGAATTAATGTCAGGGGACAAATTGTTAGCACGGTGAGAGCAAACCGCTCTGTCTTCCACCGTACGAAAGTCAGGATTAGACGATAAAATGTTTTATAGATGCGACATGTATAGATGAAGCCATCCTGAGTTCAGTCGGGAAACGTGTACCGCGTAGGCTTCAAATTAAATGTTTTCCAGATTTTCTGATAGGTCAAGGTCAGAAATATTATCTGGTGGACACTGTGCTATGCTGAACACCATCCCCACCACCACCCCCACCACCACCACCACCAACACCACCATCACCACCACCACCCCCACCGACACCACCAACACCAACACCAACACCGAAATCCCTTTCGAGCCTCTAGAGTTTAGAGGATTACAGCTCCTGATCGGTGCTCTCAAATCACGAATGGGTGTACGTGTTTGCCTACATGAATAGTAGAAGTCACCAAATTAATTTTCCGTGATGCATTTGATCTGATTTTAAACTGCTGATCGCGGTGGATACGATTTGACTAAATCCGGGTAGAAAAAATACATATCTGAGATAAAAAAGAAGTGGAGTGTGTGACAAGACAATTTCAAGAGTGTAGCTAAGTCAAACGGATTACTGTTTACACAACTGAAGGTCAGAGAAGTACCGCAACTGTGTAATCCAGTATAAATTAAGATGAAAAAATTTCGCCAACTGACTCAATTCCAAATGCAACTCACAACGTATTGATCGAGAAAACCACATCAACTAGAATCCGGAGTGGAATAAACTATCCAATCTTGATGATTGGTGTAATGTGGAACACAGGTGGTATGAAGTATAGGTGTGGTGATTCGGATCTACGAGATCATGCCTGCCCTGGAACAGCGCGGTACAGTTTCCAGACATTGGTAGTCAATCGACCTTGAGCAATGACGCCAGTAGCACGTGCACAGCCGCCGGATACACGTCATTGGTGCACCGTTCCAGCCAATCAGATACAATGCAGAGAAGAGCAGTATGACGCAAGATGTGATGCAATATGATTGGTGGAAACTAAGGTAGCCAATGATCTTTTCTTGTGTACATATATATTCACTTTCATTTCCTTCAATAAACGACTTTGTGATTCGCCTGTCTTGTGGCCTTTTTCCTCGCGTCTCGATCCTGCGGGTTATTGCGAGTTCGAGCCATTGCGGTCCAGTGTCATCGGTTTTCTAATTCGTGTTCCGTGATTCCGATTGCGTAGTTCGTGTCCTGAATTCTGTGCGTAACTTCACTACTACTACTTTCATTATCATAACACTAAGTTAGTAAAGATTTTGTTT